ATTTCAAAACAATAACTCCTGAAATAACTACACTACAGGGAAACCTCGAAATCAGTCCAAGGTAGGCTTCCTGGACACGCTACCTCGACTTAGAACCCCAGGAAGCACTATGAAGTAATTGCTTTGAATGACTCTGGGGAGTATTTATTCCGAAACAGCAGCGGTGGAGCATCCACACTACAGCTATTTTGAAATATTCGTTATTCCTCATGGAAGGCAGGAGTTGTTATTTAGAAATAACCAGCCTATTATTTTGAAATAATGGGCTTGGTAGTGTGGATGCTCTGCTTGCTATCTTGAAATAAGGGGAGTTATTTTGAAATAACTCCCTAGTGTAGACCAGGGCTTATATCTCCCTCCCACTGGACCAAGCCATTTGGAGTCACCACTCACTTAAGCCTCACCACATAGAGCTAGCGTTGCAACTTGCCCTCCCAAAATCCTTCTGCGCCCCCTTAGTGGAGTACACCCTATTTTGTGAAAGCTGGACATTTGTCTCTTTTGCTTTTCAGCAAACGGGATAAATGCTCAGCTTTGGGAAAAAATTGGGATGCCTGGGACAGTACAAGCCAAAATGGGAAGTACGGTCACCCTAGATGTTGTAGGTGAACACAACACACAGGCTTTGTACAGCGTTCTAAGACGACATTGCTTAGCACTTACGTGCACAAACTGTTGCAGATCTAGACAAATAATCAGTCCTACACACATTTCCCTGCTGCAGTTTCATCACCATTCCATAGTGTTCTTTGGGCTGGGGTCAGAGTCCTATGGGGCCATCTAGAGTTTTTCTGCTTCAATGCTTGGCCTGTCTTCTCAATCATGGATCCTCCCTCTCTAGGTCAGCTTGCTCTCTCTGACCTTAGTTGGTCCTGCAGCTAAACTAAAGCCTTCCCACTAAAGCAGCATGCCTAGCTCTTCCCTTCCACCACAGGCCCAAAGCATATTGTAACGTCTTTATATATTCCACCACCACCACCACCTGATTCATTTGTTCTGTTTCTGGAATGACTGGATGACTTAGGTGCTCATCACAAGAAAAACATCTCCAAAAATAAAGACCACAACCTCTTTGCACATTATCAGTAGTATAAAAAAATTAACAAGGAAGTCACAGAATGCTTGTGAATAGTGAGCAAGTCCCCATTCACCCATCCTGGTCACATCAGTGTGGAGACTTGAATTATATATATGAAGGAAGCCATAGCACAGAATAGACCAGTAGAATGGTACAAGCCAGGGTTTTGAAGAGGAGTTAGCATTCATAACTGGGGTTAGATTTTCAAAAACATTTCAGTTCCCATAATAATCATCTATTTGCACTTGCAAGTAAGGGCCCCATTGTGCTAGGAACCAGTATGAACATAAAACTAAGAGATGGTACCTTCCCTGTGTCACAGAAGGAGCTGAGTGTTTGAAAATCTGACCCAAAGGGATTAAAGTAAACATGCTGGATTATTGATGAATTGTTATGCAGAGCTGAACAGGGCTATTTCACAGCAGCAAATACAGAGCATATAATGAACTGTCAAACTAAATGATAACATCCATCACATTTTCATTGTCAATGCACCATGATTATCATCCTAAATGTTCCTAGTTTGCAATATATCAATGAGTCTTATCTTGTCCACAGCTATTTAAATAATAATCAGCTATGCAGACTTTGGCTCCCAAATGCCCTCTACTGGATTGAGTGTCATTAGCAGGCGCAGCTATTTGAAGCTTCAGAGGGTAACCGAGTTAGTCTGTTACAGGAAAAAAAAACAAGAGCAAATGGTCTGGTAGCACTTTATAGACTAAAAAACCATGTAGATGGTATCCTGAGCTTTCATGGGCACAGCCCACTTCTTCAGATGACCAGAATTAGGAGTTTGGGATGTGTACACCAAAAATAAATAGGAGGAGGAAGGGGAGTGAAGAAAAAGGGTGCAAACAGCTCTCTGTGTTGTATCCTTCCTGACATGGGAGTCTATCTATTTACTTTGATTTTATCTGCTTCAGTTTAACTATCCAATCTTCAGATACTTACTGATGCTCTGTCTCCCACCCCCATCCCTTTTTTCTCCCCTCCCCCGTCCCCTTTCCCTCTCCTATTTATTTCAGGTGTATACATCCCAAACTCATAACTCCGGTCATCTGTAGAAGTGGGCTGTGCCCATGAAAGCTCAGGATACCATCTACATGTTTTGTTAGTCTATAAAGTGCTACCAGACCATTATTTGTTGTTTTTTATTAGCAGCTATGTTCAAATGCATAGAAGACCTCCATCTTGGCCTCTAAACAAAGGGTGAGGAAATGAGATAAGAGAAAAGTGAAAAGGTAAGAAAGGAGCAGAAAGAGAGAATAGAGGCAGGGGAAAACAGAGCAAAGGAAAAGGACAGATGAAGGAGGCAATAAAGGAAGAATGGGAAAGTAAAGGAAAAACTGTAATCCCACTACGCTATGCATTAGTATTAATTCATGAATTAAGAACCAGCATTAGCTTGCAACAGTTGTCATGAAAAGTTTTCCAGCCAAGACAGAAAGTCTGTTCACCTAAACTTTTACCACAAGAGGAAGAATGAAAACCAATCACAGGGTTCACTTACCAGTCCAACTCCCCACAAAAAAAGGCCAGCTCACCTTGCACAGGCAGAATGTTGACAGGTTGAGTAACAAGGTGTCTGGGATCTGTACACATGCTGCACTGGGTGAGTATGAGACCTGTTCTAGTGTGATCATGTTGGTCTCCCAGTTAGTTGTCCTAGTGCAAGGGTGGGCACAGTATGGCCTGTGGGCTGCATCCAGGTTATCAGATCTTTTAGTGCAGCCCTTGACCTCCTGCTGGGGCACAGGGTCAGGGGCTTGACCTGGAAGCAGGGGCAGCCCTGGGATGCTGCACGCTGCCTCTGACCCAAGCACTGGCTCTGCAGTGCACAGAGCTGTTTGGCCCAACTCTGTGGAAGAGCTGGAGGGGGACATGCTGCTGCTTCTGGGAACTGCTTGCAGTAAGCAATGCCTGGAGTCTGCACCCCTTAGTCCCTTTCCTGGCCCTCATCACCTCCTACCCTCCATCCCAGTCTGGATCACACTCCTGCACTCCAAATCCCTCATTGCTGCCCCCCCACCAGAGTCCTCTCCCTCCCACTGCACCCCAATCCTTGGTCCCAGCCTGAATCCCTCTCCTGTCCGCTGAACTCCTTGGCCCCAATCCAGAGCATCCTCTTACACCTCTCAAACCCCCCTCATCCCTGTCCCCGCCATAGAGACTGTACCTCCAGCTGGAGGACTCACCACTCCTCTACCACCACACACATCCCAACTTTCTGCCCTAGCCTGGAGCCTTATCCCACCTCCTGAATACCTAATTTCTGGTCTTAGCCCAGAGCCTGCATCCTCAGCCAGAGCCTGCATCCCCAACCAACCCTCAATTTCATGAGCATTTATGGCCCGCCATACAAAAAGTTTGCCCACCTCTGTCCTACTGGCTAAATATTAACCCAATAATGCTGTAGTGTGTAGGTGTCCTAATGACACCTGTGAAATCTTAGTGTTAGTGCTCACACAGCTAGCTACCCTAGAATGTATAGAAACCTTTGGCCCACCTGAAACCACCATGAATTTCACAGATTACAGCTTTTACTCCTTGTGATGGGGTATACAATGGAAACTAGACCAGGAAAGAAAGAAGTTAACCATGTGTTCTGGAGACAGGTACAGCCAATGCTACCCCATAGCACAAATATTCCTCTTACAAAGGCAGTGGGCTCCAATGGGTAGCAGGTTTAAAACTAATAAAAGGAAGTTCTTCTTCACACAGCGTGTTGTCAACCTGTGGAACTCCTTGCCAGAGGAGGCGGTGAAGGCTAGGACTATAATAGAGTTTAAAGAGAAGCTGGATAAATTCATGGAGGTTAGGTCCATAAAAGGCTATTAGCCAGGGGATAAAATGGTGTCCTTGGCCTCTGTTTGTCAGAGGCTGGAGAGGGATGGCAGGAGACAAATCGCTTGATCATTGTCTTCGGTCAACCCTCTCTGGGGTATCTGGTGCTGGCCACTGTCGGTAGACAGCATACTGGGCTAGATGGACCTTTGGTCTGACCCAGTACGGCCGTTCTTATGTTCTTATGTAATGTCAGAGCACTGGACTGGGGCTTAGGAAACCTGAGTTCTACTCTGCTACTGATGTTATGTCCCCTTGGGTGACTCACTTCACTTCTGACTGTTTCTGCCCCACCCCTGTCTTGCACCTCTAGACTGAAGAGACAGTTGTCTACAGTGATGCACACAATGAGGCCTCAAGCCCAGCTAGGCACTCCAGTTACTGCCATAACACAAGTCACTACTACCAGCATCCTAGCATTAGGGATTGGCACCATCAGGGCTGCTCACTTCTACCTTTAACAGAGTTACTGGGACACCTACTTATCATTTTTCTTACTCTTAGGGAAATGGCGAATTGTTTGAATGCTGAGTGAAAGGTTTCCAAGGGCTTCCCTACATTTTCCACTATTGCAGATCCACTAATAATAGCAGAACTAGAAAAGATGGTTAGGTCTAGATAGTATAGACTGACTGCAGGTATTTTCACTGCTGTCAATAGCAGAGAATTCAAAGAGAAACATTACTATAGACAGAAATGAGAAACTAGCCAGGCAGTGTCTATCAGCACCTTCTACCGAAGGGCCTAACTGCGCATTCTTTCTACGTCACCAACAAGGAACGTAATGCTGACGTTCATTTCATGAGAATGGTCTTGGTTCTCTGCTTCAGTACTATCTTGGTGTAGTACAGTGACACTGGCATAACAGAGTGAAGAATCAGGCCCTGTGTCTTTAAAGCTATATATTCTGAACGAAATCCTGCTACCCTCCCCCACCCTCCACCCCCGGCCAAAGTCAATGGAAGTTTTGCCTGTGACTTTCAAAGGGTCAGAATTTCACTCTCCCTCTTTCTCTTTACTTCTGTGAAATCTCTGTTAATACCAACTTTTACCATCATTTCAGTAACAAAAGGAGACAACTACAAGGACCTAACCTTGGCTAAAGTCTTAAAATATCAGTGTTTATTGTACAATTTAAGAGAGTCACAACTGCAGGATGGGCTTTAATATGCCTGTGCACAGTATGATCAAAGATTTCAGCTGAAAACAGCATCTCTTTCAGATGCACTGAAGGAAGTGCAGTGGGTTACCGTTTTTCAAGAACCACACACCAGTTTCCTTGATCATAATAACTTTTTTGAATTCTTATGCAATCCAGAGTTTTGCAGTCTGCTTCCAGTTCTCCTTCATAGAACACATGATAATAGCGGTGGAAAACAGGACAGAATCCTTGCAATTCCTTAGAAGCCACTGGAAGCTGAAGGGTTTTGACATATTCCCCTTCCTTGTGAGTGCCCCTTTTCAGGTGCCAGGGAACTAGCACATCTTGAGACTGAAAGGACGTTCTGTTAGTATGAACAGGCAGGTTAGAATTTATCACCTGCTTTGCATTGCCATCTTTGTCCTTAGAGTCATTAAGGACTCCTTCAGAACATGCTGAGTCTTGCCTATTGTAGTCATGCATTTGATCACGGAACCCCCTTCCTTGTGAGTGCCCCTTTTCAGGTGCCAGGGAACTAGCACATCTTGAGACTGAAAGGACGTTCTGTTAGTATGAACAGGCAGGTTAGAATTTATCACCTGCTTTGCATTGCCATCTTTGTCCTTAGAGTCATTAAGGACTCCTTCAGAACATGCTGAGTCTTGCCTATTGTAGTCATGCATTTGATCACGGAACAATCCAC